CAGCAGCTCTTGATGCTCTGACGCCAGCCTCAGGCCACTCCTCTCCCAAGTTCCTGAATCAGCTCATGACAGTCCTCTTGAGGCTGTGCTCATTCTTGATTTCCCCTCCCAGCCACCTTTCAGGGAATAGGCTTTGATCCAGCACTCTGAGAACAGCCAGCCTTTTCAGCAATGACACTCCTTCTCTGGAGGCTTTGTGGTTTTGTGTGAACTAGTTTGGGATGCACTGTATTCATAGTATTTGAATAGTAATTTAAATGAAATGGTTTGAATAATTTGAGATGATGTATTTCAGATTTTGATGAGCTACAAGTTGTGATCTTGAAACTTATAACAGAAACGCTTGACTTTACGTGAGAACAGAATATATGAAACTCGTTTTTGAATTCAATTACAAAACAAAATGAGCTTGTTTTACATCATGAATTTGATGAATGAGTATATAAAACAGAATAATAGAGAAAAGGATGTTAGATCCTCATGAAAGTCTCTGTACTTGATGTTACCTAAACATGCTTTTTCTTTTAATGCTACTGCAGTTTTCAAACGAACGCTGTCTGTTTATCTCTTCTCCAGACCTAAATCCAGCTTCTTGCCCAGCTACATCATTGACGTCCGTGAACTAGATGAGAAGCTCCTCAACATCATTGACATGAAGTTCCTCCACGGCTACTACGAGCCCACGTTGCTCATTCTTTTTGAGCCCAACCAGACATGGCCTGGGTTAGTGTGAACAGAATTCAGTTCTGTCAGGAAAAAGGGAAAAAAAAATATGAAAATGAGGCGCCTAATATATGCATGGTGTTCTGCCCAAGTAAAGTATGCATCTGGAAACACTGTATTGGCAACTTGGTATTAATTTGAGTTTCTAAGCAGCCACTTTTATCAGAATTGTCACTTCTATATGCTTTTTTTCCCCAGGCGTGTGGCTGTCCGTCAGGACACTTGCAGCATTGTTGCAATCTCCCTCAACATCATGCAGAAGGTTCATCCTGTCATCTGGTCTCTCAGTAATCTGCCCTTTGATTGTACACAGGTCATGGCTGTCCCCAAACCCATCGGTGAGTTCTGAGGAAGCGTGTCAGTGCTCTGTTGGATATGAATTTGCATTAAGCGAGTGCTGATCACACTTGAAACGTTTGCAGGTGGCGTGGTGGTGTTTGCTGTGAATTCGCTGCTCTATCTGAACCAGAGCGTTCCTCCCTACGGAGTCTCGCTCAATTCTCAGACAAATGGGACCACAGCCTTCCCTCTGCGTAAGATTAATCATTTCAAACCCACGCCTGTACGTGTATCTCTGGGTATGCTGTGATGCTCACCACTCTATACCATGTCTCGGTTGTGCAGGTGTACAAGATGAAGTGAAGCTCACGCTGGACTGTTGTCAGTCTGACTTTATTGCTTACGACAAGATGGTGATCTCGCTGAAAGGAGGGGAGATGTGAGTTATTGTAACACTACCAGCAGCATGCATGCAAATGTTGATGACATTAAATTTTTTCTTACTGGCTGCTGCTGTTTTGCAGTTACGTTTTGACACTGATAACTGACGGCATGAGGAGCGTGCGCGCTTTCCACTTTGACAAAGCTGCTGCCAGCGTCCTGACGACCTGCGTAAGTCCTGCCTCTGACTGTGAGCAGTGATGATCTGGTGATACAGGAGCTCTGTTTCTTAAACAAATACTTGTTCTGTCGTGTTTCTGTGGACAGACACAGAGGACATGAGGGAGCAGGATTTGAGCAGGCAAACGTTGCTTTTTTTTTTATCCCTCTGCTCTAATTCAGAGGGTTATACCAACAGGAGAGAATCAAACCACTGTTAACCTTTAAACATACATCAGTGAAAAAGGTTTAGGCTATCTATGCTGTCGTCCTGTTTACATTCAATGCTTTCTTTTTCCACAGACTCTTTCAGGTTGTTAACATCTTTAAAAATAAAAAATGCAGGTCTTGCAATAGGGTTGGGGTTCTCCCCGGGTACTCCGGCTTCCTCCCACAGTCCAAAGACATGCAGTTAATAGGGATAGGTTAATTGGAAACACTAAATTGCCCATAGGTGTGAATGCGGGAGTCAATGTGAGTGCGAATGGTTGTCTCCTGTCTATGTGTTAGCCCTGCGACAGACTGGCGACCTGTCCAGGGTGTACCCTGCCTCTCGCAGCTGGGATGGGCTCCAGCACCCCCCGCGACCCTAAAAAGGTTAAGCATGGATGGATGTCTTGCAATACAACAGTGAAAACCCTCAATAATAGTTAGAAATGGTTAGGTGTCATCCTGGCCATCCTACCTGTTAGCTTATGGAAATGGAAATATGATCATTTCTTGACCAAAGGCTTAGGAGTAATTACTTGTTTTTCCATCCATGTCAGGTCTTAAATTTGCTTTAATATGACACTTAAATTGATCTTAAAAGCTTCGCTTGTAACTGTGGACCCCCTGAATGATGCAGCCAGTTACACTGCCGCCTTACATTACTCTTCTTCCTTAGATGGTGACCATGGAGCCCGGATACCTTTTCCTGGGTTCCCGCCTCGGAAACTCGCTGCTCCTGAAGTACACAGAGAAACTGCAGGAGACGCCAGCGGAGGAAGGCAAAGAAAGGCAGGACAAAGAAAAAGACAAAGACAAACAAGTGAGCTGGTGCAAATTTAAATACAGCAATTCTTAGATTTGGTGCTAGTTTGAGTGTTGAATTTAGATATAGCATTTTCTAGTTTTTCTCACTGCGCTTGAAAGGTGATGTGTTTTATTTGACGTGTTGTTATGAAAGTGGTCTCTTTTTTCTTTCTTTCTTTCTTTTAGGAGGAACCACCAAGCAAAAAGAAGCGAGTTGAATCCTCCACTAATTGGACCGGTACATTTCCTGTTTGACATGTGCACAATAGCAGCGTGTGTGAGAACTGCCAGTCTGTGTTATACTCGACTTCTTTGTTTTGTCAGATGAGGTGGATGAGATAGAAGTGTATGGAAGTGAGGCCCAGTCGGGCACTCAGCTGGCCACCTACTCCTTTGAGGTAAAAAGCTTAACTGCTAAGCTTAACTGTGGTGTAGATGTGCATAGAAGATGAGGAAGAGTCTTTTTCTGTCTCACAGGTGTGTGATAGCATACTGAACATTGGGCCTTGTGCAAATGCATCCATGGGTGAACCTGCTTTCCTGTCTGAGGAGGTACAGACAGTTGAAACAGTCTTATATTAATGCTACAGTTAGCTGTTATGAATTGTCAGCTCAATTTTTTTTATTCCACTCACAGTTTCAGAGCAACCCTGAGCCTGACCTGGAAGTTGTAGTTTGCTCTGGCTTTGGCAAGAATGGTGCCCTGTCTGTGCTTCAGGTAAAACCTCCTTACTAGATCAGTCTCTCATTCATGATTTCTGGTACTGCACCGTCCTAAAACCTGTGGTCGCGAGGCCCGTCTGCCACAGGTCCAGTCACGGTGCTAAAGTCAAGTCTGGGTCTACCAGGGCTGCCTCAGAGATCGACGGAGTAGCCTGTAAACACCCCAGAAACAACAATCCTCAGTGCATAATTAAAA